ATAAGACTTCTCCTCTTGAATAATCAGGCCTCATTTTATCTTAGAGTATCTTATCATCCCAACAGAGCACTTTTCTCTCAGACTGCAGCCTTATTTTTGGTTCCTATTATATTAGCCTATTAGTAGCCTATTTAATAGTAGAATGGGAGGCAGAGCCTTCAGCTTTCCTGCTCCTCTTCTGTGGAATCAGCTCCCAGATTGGATTCAGGAGGCAAACTCCACTTTTAAGATTAGTCTTAAAACTTTATTTTGGGATAAAACACAAAGGCTACAGCTGGACCCAGAATGATCAATGAATTATGCTGCAATAGATCTAAGCTGTTGGTGGACTTCCCATAATGCACTGACCGTTTCATCTTCACTTAACTTTTTTTTACTCTCCATGTGTTTATACACTAATATGCATTTAATCATTAGTTATTATTAATCTCTGGCTCTCTTCAACAGTGTGTCTTTTCTCCTTTCGCCTCCAATTGGTTGTGGCAGATGACAGGGCCTCCCTGTGCCTGGTTTGCCTGACGTTTCTTCTTGTTAAAAGAGTTTTTCTTTTCCACTGTCACTAAGCGCTTGCTCATGGAGACAATCTATCAATCTATCTATCTTAAACTGAAAAAGAATTGAATTGAAACAAATTCTCTGGGATGTTTGGTTGTGCTTTGTTTTGCAGTGGTCACATGTCAGCTGCAGTTGTTCCTCTCTTCTACATAATCCATGTGACTTTGGTCCACTTTGTTTTTGCTGTCTTGCTGTTCTAAAAGTGGTGTGTCTGGTTTCAGGCAATGACTAGGCTGGGGTTTACACAAACCCTATTAACCTTGTCCATTCTGCATTCATATGAATCTGTTCCACGTGAGCTGGCTGGCTGTAATGTTAAGACGTGTTTCTGCACCTTTGAATTACATTAAAGTCACCCCCCTGAGCTAGCTGCATTCTGACGGTATTGTCCCTTGTGCAGAGTTGCACGTCTGTGAGATTGAAGACTCCCCTGAGTGGCTTTTGGTGGACTAGACTTGAGGTTCAGTAGCCTATTCTCTATAATGGTTTTCATTAACTGAAATCAGACATTTATCTGACCAAACACTCAGTCACACTAGCAGAAGCATGAAAGCACTTTAACTTTATTTACTGTAAAGAACAGCGATTCCCGGACAAAAGGATGGAGACAGCTTGTCAGCAGCCCCACACAAACCCTGTGTAATAGAAAGGTGAAAGGTTAAAATAAAAGAGCTTATGCCTAACAGCTTTGCTTCACAAGTAATTAGAGATGAGCGTCCTTTACCACAGCAACCCATTTTTTTTTTCTTTCTTCTCTTTTTACATCAGTGAGTTCCATCCTTCATCAAACCAACTTCACGTCACAAAAAGAAGCGCATTAGCCCTATTAGCAAGTTAGGTGTCATCATCTACTGGCTTACCATAGTAACTGGTCTCCAGTTTGCATAAATTATACAATAAATTTACTGATGGCATGTGCGATCTATGCAACTTGGCATCTTACTGAAAGAAAAGCATCCTTTGTGTGATGTCAGGTCACTGGTGAAGTGAAAATAAAACTTATCTTTGATGCTTTACTCAGTGTCCTGCTAATTCCACTGGGTTCACAAAACATTTGTGTGTCATCACGTTGTTCCGAGATGTGTGTCGGGACTCTCATTTTAGCAAACGGAGTGGTTATCCCAGTGGAAGATGGTGTTCACTCGACTGAGTGTGAACAGGTCTTTAGTGTTGCTGTAGTCAAAGCCTTTTTCCACATTTGAGCTCTGGGAGATGAACAAAACAGGCGCGCAGATAATAAAACAAAGAAAAACAAAGCACTTTGCGGGCTAAGAGATTTTTAGTGTTAATGAGTAACTTCATTTATCATTGCACAAGCATGAAAACAACCTTTTGTGTCTATGTCGTGGGCGGGGTGGTGGTCTAATTTTCTCAGGCGTGCGGTTGTAGCTAAATTTAAAGGTTGTAGTTTTACACATGACGCCGTTCGCGTGCAGTTGAAGGCACCTACAGGGCAGTCAGAACTGGACTCCAGCCAGACAGCAACAACTTTCAAAGTCTGTGGACAACAGCACAGCTGCCTTTGTCAAAAACACAAGCTAGTGTTCATCAAATGTTCATCATCAAAACTCTTGTGCTGTGCAGATTTTACTTCATTTTTAATTCCCTGCTGTCACTTCAGTTGCAGTTACTCTTTGTAACACTGATGCCTCCCTCCCCTCTAAAAGCCGTCTGGCAGTTTTTGGCAGTTTACTCATAGTGAAAGGCTCTCGAGGGTTGCATTTTTTTTTTTACTTTGTAACGTAATGTGTGTAATGTAATGTCTGGCTCATGTGCCTTCTGGCCAATGTGCAGCATTAAATCAAGTTTTACAGGTAACCTCCAGTGTGTGTACATCTACCAACATTTTTTTGTGTGTAATAAAAAACTGTAATTTCATAAATCCTGACCATTAAAATGTATGGGAATAACACTGCATCTGTTAATTTGGACAATTCATTAATAGCAGGCAGCACATGTTAAATAACCATATAAATGAAGCACAACATTAAATATAGACTATTTATCATGACATATATTAAAATCGTCAGCATACACTTTAAGCCAGATGTTGTGCCCTTGCTGTTTTGTCTGATTTGTGTGTAATCTACAGTGGCTATAAATGTTGTGAAATATAATAAATTTTAGGTGACTGTGCTTTGACTTGAATGTGTGCAATATGTTTGTTCCCTGTAGGATGTCTTCAGGCTGTAACTGAATTTTCCCCTAATCAACCACAAACAAAAAGGACCCGCATGCACAGCACAGACAAACACACAAAGGGTTAAACAACAATAGTCGTCAAATGAGCCTCTAAAGGAGCATCAGGTGAGTCCAGCGTGTTGAAAGCGTGCACCTTTGAGGCTCGGATGTCACCAAGAAGGGCCTTTTAACTCCAAGACAAAATACACGGTCCTTTTAATCCTCATTTCCATTTGCTATATCCCATACAGTAAGCACATGAATGACAGAGGGCAACACAGAGTCCAGTCACTGAGCATATAGAGACCACTTCCTAACGAAAACACAAAGTCCACGAAGTTCCCGGAGCTGTCTTTGTAGAGGAAGTCTTTGATCTCTCAATGCGTAGAGACATGCAGTGAAATTGCTGGAGAGAGAACACAGTGTGTACGACTCTGCTTGCAGACAGCTGCTTATTCACAGTTAGGTTTGAAAAGTGCACACAAGGTACGGATCGTGTTAATAGCTCGATGAGTATTATCTCTACTGTACATCTTTATAATACCATAACACGTAGTGTTACAGAGCTCAATGTAAGACAGCAGTACTTATCAAATGTAAAAATAAATGACATGACATATCAATATTCACAAAAACTATCGGAATTAATTTCACAATATCTACAAATTCACAACTTAGTAGTACTATTCTGAGCAATTATTCTGCGCAATTAGAATTGTTGCCATTTAGTTGAATCATTTGTTTAGTTTGCCTATTTTATCTACAGCTTTCTACGCATCAGGAGTTTTGCATAAATGCTGTTGAGGTTACGTCGTATAAAACATAGAATATTTAATGCTGTACTGAATAGCATAAATATATTAATATAGTAATATAGTCTTAATATACTCTATCTCATATGGATGACATGTTTCTGCTGAAGTTAACTCTGGCCCTGTGAGAAAAGGATTTACCACGTGACTAACACAATCATAGCAGAGCCTAAATGGCAACAGTACAGTGGAGTCCTGCTCATCGAAATCATCCCAGGAATGTTCAAATCAATCAATCAATCAAAACGAAATAAAACAATTACCACAGGTGTACATGCAGACTCTTCAAAACACAGTTTTTTCTTACAACTTCTAGTTTTAAAAACTGCTCAGATTCTTATTTCTGCACTATGACATGTGTTGGCTGCTATGGTCTTTCCAAGCAGACTGGATGACGATGATTACGCTGTAGTTTAGCGGCAGAGTGAAGTGGTCGTGGTCTTATAGCTCCGGAAGTGTTTTACCCTTGTTTGCTAGTCACAAACACACAACATATGCGGATTTAATTTTTTTTAATAATTGACGAGGTGTAGAGAAGTATGTTATTCTGTAAATATTTAACTTGATCAGTACAGTCAGCACAGCTTGGCAGTCACACTAATTTCATGTTGTGAATGGGGTTAGACATGAGTTTATGAATGCTGTAGTACACATGAAATCACAAAGCAAATTGATCTTTGGTTATCACATTATACCAGATCCTGACATGACAAGGGTCTTTGGGCATATTAAGTAAAGTGACTGTTTCTGCTTAGAAGTACGTACCTACAGTACATTTATCCCACTACCCAGAAGAGTCATACACAAACATTAATGCTGTTTAGCAGCAGCCAGCAGGGTTTATAAACCCTCAGTGGATGTGTAAAATGGATCATTTTGTTTGAGACTAAATTCTAAAAAAAAAGGAGAAATAAAGAAGAGGAAACAGGGTGTTTTCATTGAAAAGTGTATAAATCAATGAAATGTATCGGATTAAAAAAAGCTATACTGTGCCGGGATGATATGTGGTGTTCAGAAATATTTAGAGGTAATACGTATCATTAAGACACAGCGACGTGCTTCACCCTGTTTGTTATTATACATTTAATTTGCCCGATGAAATGAAATGAATTTCTATTCCTCGATTTCAGTGCAGAGGTTAGTATCACGCCTTATTTTGCCATTATAGCCACTGTGTTTCTAACGTCTGTATAAGGTTTACAAAGAAATGCACATGCTGTTGCAATTTAGCTGCATGTGGAAGAGAGAGATAGGGTCTAGCTTTGTGTGCATGTCCACATATGTATGGCTTGAAATTAGACGCACTGATTTATTGTAATGGCTAAAAGAGTCAGTGCTCTACAAATAGCCACTGATTACATTTTATAATAATAAAAATGTAAATATCTTATTTGTTCTTCATTTGATTATATATCAGTTTTTAAAAAATATAATAATACATCTTGTGTTAAATTGTACACATAATATATAATATATATATATTTGATAAGAATAGCTTGTTTTCATCATGTTATATGTCGGCTAAATTCACAACTTGTTCGATGTACTTAACTTAATTCTTTCAATCACAGAACAAAATTTTGTATTGTATTGTTGTTGTCCTGTATCTTCATGTATGAACTGGCTTAACATTATTTAAGATGACTGCACAGCCAGTTCAGTGTGTGCGAACTGTGCGTGTGTGACCAAATAAGGGTAAAAACACTCCCAAAACTCTGTACCAGCTGTAAAGCATAAACATTGCATTAGTATGCACAAATAGTTGGAATAATGCGTGTTTATACAGATGCTGGGTTATGAGAGGTTATGAGTAACTGGGATGAAGTACAACACATTGATACCAAGCCCTATTTCCTTAGTGACAAACACCAATATTTGAGGCCAAAGACGAAAAAACGTGTACAGACTTCACCATGCATTAAGCTATGACTGAACACTTCTACGTGGTTTGTATTAACAAACCTTTACAGGTGCCACAACACGGTTCACTCACTGTCCTAAGCTTACCACTGAAAATGGTAAGCTTAATGTATGAAAGAGTATCGAGTACAGTGGTTGTCAGAGCAGGTATTTAACATGATGAAAAACAGTTTGCTTAGCATAAAAAGCAACAGAAATGGCTTTAGAGTTACACCTGCATAAATGCTTAGCACACATAACACAGAGTGTCACAGGAATACAGACACCGCTAAACAAATCAGAGACAAATTCAATGCACGAGCGATCATCGCTCCATCGTTAGGGGCTCTTTGGCGCGATCAGAACAATTTGTTGTTGTTTTATTATTATGAATTTTGCAATGCAACTGTCGCCAGCGATGGCAGTGTCTCCGAAATGTGTTCAGAAATGCCGCATGACTGTGACTCGACTTTTACTACAAAACACAGTATATGGAGACAATCAAATCAACACCGACCGACTTTACACGATAAAGTATAAAAGGGCAAAAAATACAGCACGAATCAAAACGCTTGTGCATGAGTGTGGCTACGGTGACCGATGGAAACAAAATAAGGGTGAAAAACAAAAACAATAAAAAAAAAGGTTTCAAGGTGCCTGCTCACAGTTTACTTAAAGGGCGAGTGTCTGCTATGATTTAATTTGTGAAACGTGTCACGTTATTTGCATTTGAACGGCGAAAAAAAATAATGTGTGAATTCGACTTCAGTCTGAGGTAATGGCGGTAGTTTGTAATGACTGCTCAGCTCACAGAGATGTCAAAACATAAATGGCACACGGACTATGATATATCCTTTAATATCTTTGCTTCAGCTTTTCACTAGTGCTGAAAGGTCTGTTAGCCTTCGGCACTCATGGGAAACATTTACACTTTATACCCATCTCCACCGGCGCGGTGCGTGATGCACAGCCCATACTGCACTACACTGCAGAGCATGGATGCCAGTTTGTAAATGTTTGTATGTAATGTAAACACACAGACCGCCTTCTATATGTGTGGAAATGCAAGTGTAAGCATGTCAAAGCCTTTTTTGCTTCGTGATGTGTGTATTTACCAAGGCACGTAGCTTCTCTGTCGTAGGACATAGCCAATTAAACCTCAAAGAGCCACTGAACTAGAAAATGTACAGGCAGCCCAATGAGACGCGAAAGCAGTTGCAGATAATACTGTATTGGGACTGTTGAACTTCACCGCAAGCTGAAGGTCAGACACTGACGATTATTAACGATGTTCCTATGGACCTACACAGGCTGCCCCCAGCTAACAGAATAACAGTAAAGCGACCAGCAAATGGCTCTCTTGGTGTCTTCTGATGCATGTGTTCGTGTGCATGTCTGCATGCATATCTCAAACTCAATGCACGTGACAGAGTCTTATTATTGGTAATGAGCTACAACGAGAACATTGAACGCATGCTTGCCCTGACTTATCATAAGAAAAGCGCAAACATGTCCAAATTTGGTGGAAAATGCAATTTGACTACTCTACAAAACAGCAAGCCGCCAAAGGTACAGCAAAGATCACCGGGTTACTCACAACAGAGAACAGGGCCAGAGCTAAGTGTGGAGGGGACGAAACTAAAAAGAAATGCTGCACAAACACAGACTGACGTGACAATGTGCTTCCTCCACGGTCCACTACTCTATGTGAATCTACTGTATGGTCAAATTTGCCTTCCATCTATACGGACGTGCAAAATATCAGATGCCTAAGAAAAAACAGACACACAAAACATGCGCGCACACACGTACACACGCACAAAAAAAGATGTAATGGACTTGGCACACCGAAACCAAACCCAATCAAGCCGAGCATTTGGTCAGACTCAGTTTAGGTTGTTTGCCTTCATGATAGCGGGCTTTCTGTTGACATATGTGGCCCAGTAACCCAAGTTGAAGATGAAGAACAAAATTGGGAAAATGATGCGTGATATCTTGTCCACTTTGCTGACACGGTTGTAGGATTTCTTGGCCTCTATGTAGGGGTCAGGCATATAGGGATGCTTCGCCGATGCTCCCGCGCTCTTGGAAATGGTCGTTAAACCTTGATCTTTAGCTACGTTGATGGCGTAGGTGGTTCCGACAATGTTGAAGGTGTTGTTCGCCTTTTTGGACAAAGTCGCAGATTCTCTTCTCTGAAAAGGAAGAAGGAAGTAAAGCAAAGGTCGTTAGGAAGGGGGGGGCACCAGACTCAACCATACTTCCATTTGAACTCATAAAGAGGAAATAGAAGCAACACCACGAGACACGACACACACAAGAACAAAACAAAAGCCTAACCATATCTTTAATCCTGGCCATGTTAGCCTGAAACGGTTCCTGAAAAGAAAAGTAGAAAAGAAAAAAAGTTTACCAATTATATTAAAATTACCCAACTTACATACTGTATTCATCAGTATCTAGCTGGAACTACTTTTGAACATACCGTCAAATCAAATCTGCATCATACAAATCTGGATTGCAGAACGTAAAGGACCAAGATCGAAAAAAAGAAAATCATGATGAAATTAAGAGTATGGGAATAGGAACAGTTCTGATTTGCATCATTGCAGAACCAGGCTGGACTGGCGTCTGATACTGCTAGCAGTAGCAGTAGCAGCACAGAGCAGGATTAGAAGGAAAAGCAAAATAACAGCGCCTGAAAACATGTCTGACAAACTGTATCAATGAGAGCAGCCAGACCTCTGCAGGCAAACAGATTGCGATACAACAAACACGACAAAGGCTCTGTGTGATAAAGCTGGCTGGAGAGACTGCCGTCTTAGTTCTACTAGAGGGAAATCATTAGACTGTCTTTCATATTGAAGTCGCACAGGGAGCCAGAATTTTATTTGCTAAATTGGTACTGGCTCAAATAGCTAAACTTGCATCACTAGAGGATCCTGTCAGCCTAGCGAAGAACAGTACAGCGCACACAGTAGATGTGGGAGAGCAAGTAGGACACTAAGATTGATTACCAGGCAGAGTTTTAGTTTCCTGTGTGGCATCCAGTGTGCGAGTCTGTACTGTGGTAATTTCCTTCACACCATTCATCCCCACTGTGGCCACTTTAAGAAACTAATTCAGTGCGTGTCTTGTAACAGATTTTCACTTTCACAGCTCCCCCTTTTCACTTTTGCTTTGAGCCCAGTTTTAATTTTTGCTCCACTTTTTTTTTTTTAGCTTCATTTAATTTTCCTTCCTTTTTGCTTCTCTCCATCTTTTTAATTAGCATAACTAATGTCCCCTCTACCCCAAAGTGCTTCACGGTGAATCTCTTACAGCGCACAGCTCATCACCAAATATTTTGTTTGGTCTTTATGCTCAGTGTTCACATATACTCACGAATGGAGGCACAGCAATGGTTTTACACGTGACAAGACATGTGCCGTGGCTATGTTCAGTGTCTCGAGTGCGTGTAAATCTCACAGGGAGTCCTTTTTAATGTCTGCCAGTAGGTTTTGCTTGTTTGTTTTTTTTTGACTTTGTACTGGAGGCAGCAGGATTGAGGAGGAAATATATTTACTGTCATAAGTGTGTTTCCTTGAGTGAGCAGGGCAACAGGATGAGTATGATCCTTCAACCTTGAGGAGAGCTAACAAACTTGCAAGCAGTTGATTGCTTTAAACCGGTGCTTGAAGCACCTGCTATCTTAAGTCAATTTGAACAGAAAAAGAAAGAAAGACAGAAGAGTCACACTCTTGCTCCCAGATAACCAGGTACCTTTCAATGATATTGATTCTAACACAGAATGAGCTGCTCTATTGGAGGTTTCTGTCAGCAGGAAAGGCAAATTACTACAATATCACGCATCAGAGATACATCAATTGTAGTAACAATATAGCTCAATATGGCTACCGTCACGCATCTTTAAAGAGCAGAAATTCAATCATAAAATTTGTGAAACTGGATCGACTGCAAAATGGATGGAACACAGCAGATAGCCATCAGTCACTGCCAGTGGTGAGTGTCATGTCCGACAGTAGAATGACTTGGCTGATGAATATGTGTATCCGAAGTGGCAAACACCAGTCCTGAGAAATGAAGCCAAACCACAACTTGATTTCCTATAATGGCCACTTGAGACTGGCTCCAAACGCAAGTCCACACAGACTCCTGTGTTTTCACAGCCTGCTACAAAAATCAGTTTTGGCCTCGATAGCTAACAGACACTCAATTTTAGCCTCGATAGCTAATGACCGCTATACCTTTTGCCACTGTACCTGTCAGGCGCTAATGTTTTAGCTTTGATTGCTAGCAGACAGTATATTTTTAGAGTTGATACCTAACAGATGCTATATTTTTGTCCTCAACAGCTAACAGATGCTAACAGATGCTACCATTCTGGCCACTATAGTATCTTCACGGAAATTGTATAAGAGGCCTACGGTATGTATGTTTGGAGAGGGAGCTTCAAATTAATAAGTATGTAGCCGCTTTGAATGACAGGTGGGTGCTAACAAAGGATTCTGTAGTTGCTAACCGCCTGTTTGCCTTCCCCTGAGTTAACTTGAATGGCTAACTTGAGAAAACTCTCAAATGTTCCTGCGGTGCTGCCTTTAAGAGCATTTTTAATCAACAGAAATACTATGTTTAATTCAGTTGAGTTCTCCACCAGTCTGGAGAAGAAAGCCTGAATGAAAGTGGTTATTAGCCTGTATTTAGAAAACATAAATTGCAATTTTATGGTCGCTAAATTAGAGGTCAGTTTATGTCTGTTTATAGTGAAACTTTCAGTGAGTACTAAAAGTGTTTGGCCATCTCAATTTAACTTGCTGTACATTATGAAGGCTGTGTACCAAACTTCTAAAACCAATTTTCATACTGATCAGCGAATGTTCTGCACTTACACCTCTAAGCTCTAATAATACCATCCCAAACTGTTCAGTCTTTTAGACTATAGATGCTATCTGCACAGTAATGTAGCAAATTTTCTCTTCTTTTTTGCTGTTCCATTGTCCTTGTAGGTAATAATTTATATGGTCTAATTATTGGGGGAACAGTATGTAGCACTGGGCTGTATGCATGTTTTTATGAACCTTATGTAACAGAGCACATAATTCACTAGCAGCCACAGATTCCTGTGTACTATTCAAAGTCATTTCAATAGCTGCAGGCAAAAATACTCCATGAATACAATGCATCTATTGACCTTGTCTTTGTAACTTCTGAAAATTGTTGCATCAGAATTTCTTGATGAGTGTGTTTAAGTGTCCTGGGGGTAATTGTGCCTTGCTGTGTCCTGCTGTTTGGAGCTCAGTGTGTGCATGTGTGCGTGTAACTAAACCTTGTGACAGTCTGTCCCTCTCTAAGACTGGAGCTGAAGTGTTGGCGTAATAAATAGCCCCAAGTATGTGAGCATGTGGGTATGTGAGTGTGCAGACTGTCTATAGGGAGCCACGATGTCCCTGTTTGTGTTCCTGTGGACACGTTTTGACGTGAGCATTTAAGTGTGTATTTAGGTAGAGGCACTTACACTATCAAAATTTGGAGGAACTTGCTAGTTGCATGGGTGGCCTCTCTTAATAATTATGTCATTTAGTTATGATATTATATATAAACATGAAATAGACCTTTCTGATTTCACTTAAGGATGTGTTAATGTACACTATATGGAAAAAAAAGGATTCTAGCATTTGAATTCAGGTGTTTTCTGTCCTTTTGCCACAGATCTATGAAATCAAACACCTAGCCATGCGGTCTGCCTTTACAAACATTTGTTAAAGAATGAGTCACTCTAAAGAGTTCACTGATTTCAAGTGTGGCACTGTAATAGGGTGCCATGATGGCAACAAGTCAGTTCGTAAAAGTTGCAAGCTATTCCACAAACAGCTGTGAGAATCTTGAGAACTGGATGAACTCGGGCAACGTAAATTTACAGAGTGGGGCTGCTGCCATGTGCTGAGGTGCATAGGGTGTGAAAGCCACCAACAGTCTGCTAACTCTGGCATTAACATCAGCACAAAAATGGTGCACCAGGAGATTCATGACATGGGTTTCTTTAGGAGAGCAGTTCCTGTAGGGTCTAGTGTGTAGGCGGCCTATTACATTTGTTAATATAGCATCGCATGGAAAACGCCAACAACAAGGGGTCAGCAATTTAGTGGTATTTCATGCTTGCTACATCAAAAAACTTGTACAAAAGAATGCTTCCAAGTATCCTCCTTGCAGTGAGGAACACAGCTTAACACCCAAGTATCTCTATCATTATTGGGACTGAAAAAGTACAAAAGTGCACCCCTGGCCTCCAGAAATGTCAACTCACCTTTGTTCTTTCCACCTGAGTGCATCAAAACTTCCAGAATACATTCTACTGACATGCAAGTGCTTGTGCTAATAAGAGATAATGAATTATTCTGGTAAAATGTTGATGAAGTTATTATGTACTGCAGGTGCGTAGACACACACATGCGCACACACACGCACACACGAAACCGCGATCACCCCTTGGCCGCAGCAGAGCAACCCACAGCCAGTGCTTCTGCCTCTGCTGATAAAACAGCCCATGATATCCAACATAGCAGTGTCCAATCATGTGTCACAGGGTGCTGAGAATATGCAGGCTTTTCCAACCAAACTCCCCACCGGCTAATTTCTGTAATAACCTCACCTTCAGCCGGAGAGGGGAGAGCTAATTAGGCAGATTGCCTGTCACAGAAAATGGTCGAATAAAAGCAAAGGAAAACTACATCGATGCTCCATAACCAGTAAAGTAAATTAGTGCGCACACACTCATCTGTGGATCATATCTGAGACCTAAAAAAAGAAAGCAGCCTAAGGGTGATGAAGTCATCATTTGGTTCCGGTAGGAGTGGTGGCTGAAACCCTAGCTCTGATGGCTGCGGGGCTAGATTTTTAAAAAAGACTTACTAGCTAAAACTTCTCTCCTGAAGAAGAGGTTTTGCTTATGTAGCTCGTGCTCATTAACAGTCATTTTTCTAAATTTGCTAAAAAAAAAAGGGGAAATATATGCAGTGCCTGATTGCTTTGGATTCCAGTAGCTCGTTCTAGCAGGCAGTGTGGTGGTAGTGCCACGTCTCCCTCTGTGACCCCATTCTATTTTATCTATCATGACAACTGCATGCTCAGCACAGTCCCTGAGAACCCAGTCCAGGCTGTTGCCATTAAGACGAGCCATCAAAGAGGAGGGGCGGGAAAAAAAAGAAAAAGAAAAGAGAAAAAAACCTCCTCTCTGCAGCAGTGTAACGCAGCAAATTATCCCCACCAACTGAAAAGTTCTGTGGCAGCAATATGCATTTCTGCCAATCGCTCCGAGGACCAAATGTCAAACTATAAAAAAAGCGGGAAAAGGCTGTACTGATTGTGTCAAACAGTTTGTACAATGGTAGCAGAAAATAGATTCGTGGCACTGTCTGTCACAGAAGAAATAACTTTCCCTTTATGTTGTGTCTGTGGCTGTGTTTTTATGCGCTCACGGCAATACAGTAATAGCACTGCCACTATTTACCACTGGCACAGCTTCATAATGTTTCTTATATGATTCTTATATGTTTTTCCAAGCACCCCAGAAGGCTGTCCTTTTAATATAGCTTTGCTTATAAGCCACAGTTAATACTCCTTTTCTCAGTTTGAAATGGACTGTGTTATACATATATCAGGTAAACTCATTTTAGCTGCACAATTACTAACTTATATTAGTCTTTTTATGCTGGTGTGCTTTGTTTTTATTGTTCTAATGTTCAGTTCTATGTACCAGGTCTGTCCTTATTGAACTTAAGCTACTTCTTCATGCAGCCCCCCCTTTTTTAGATGAACTCACTCTGATCATAGACTGTATATAAAAGATGGGTGTAGCCACCAAGACCCTGTTTTGTTTTTTTGACAAAAACAGGAAAAGTCTGACTGATCACCCCAAAGCATACCCAGCCTTTTGCTCCTTTTTGAGTCTAATGAGGACAGAAAGCTGTAAAAAGAATATCATGCTCATTCAGTATGACTTGGCTGGGGACTGCAGAAAAGTGTTTAGTGAAGTCAAAGTTTAAGTGAGCAGTAGGGTCATTTCCCCAAAGAGAGACTTCTTCTTGCATCCAGAGAAGTTGCCTCCTGCTGGCCACAAGAAAGAATCCAAACCTGAGCCACTTTAGCACTTTCACTTTTCAGACCTGGAAGCTACGTCAGTGTTTTATATGCAGTCTATAGTTCTAACTGGCTGACATGCAAAATGCTCCTCCAAGAATCTCTCCATGGTTCCAATGTCAGTGACTCACTATGTATGTTAAGAGAAATAAAGGTGATGTTCAGTACATGCTAAAGTCTTTTGCTTTTAACTTTCTAGGAGCATTTTTACATATGTCTATCTAAGGCTTTTGTAAAAGAGCTAAATAACATGAGAATCTTATATCATAACAGTAAATGAACACAGCCTGATTTTAAACTGGTATTTAGTGCCTGGTGAGATTGATGTTAAAAGAAAAGAAGACTATTTTGATATTTAATGTAAGTTTTTAATCTGACTTAGTTTCTTTCATTTCACTATGTCTGTGTGCCTACAATTGTTTTTGATTTAATGCTATCATTTACAAACACATGAAAAGTCCACCAGAGAGGCTCACCCTGGGCAGGATTAACTTTTAAGGGAACAGCAGAGTATTTTATGTGGGAGTAGGTAATAGATAATAGGTATGGATTTGTAAATAATTGGATATAATTATGATATTATTATATAAGATTATACTACTGTATATATTTTTAAATAACTGAGCAGATTTTGACAATACTTTAAACATACGACAAATAACTTCAAAAAAAGGCAGATGTAAAAGTGAGGTCAGAGGTCAAATGTGACATGACATTTAAATGCAAACTATAGTGTTAATATTTAGAACCTCCATATACTGGCAGCATTTCCTAAATCTTCCAATACAAACAAAGGCTGTGAAATTTTAAGCACATAAAGGTCATTTTATGAAGGTCTGGCCTTATTTGATCACCATTATTATTATTATTTCAATTATTATCAATCAGTTATTATCACTTTGACCTTCAAATCATTGAGTTAAAGAAGAGGTCAGAGGTCAAATGTGACATGATATTTTAAATCTTTCTATATGTTGACAGCAAACACAACGCTTCCCATACGTTTTAAGTTATAAGGCTTTTTGTCACTCTTCGACCAATAAATCACGAGGGTGACCATGAAGACCGTGGTGGATCTAAGACACTTTTTAATGGCTCGTGCTCTACACTACAAAAAAGTTTGATCAGAATTCATTGAAAACTTTTCAAGCTGTCGTGATTACAGACGGAATGATCTTTCCAGTAAGGTAATCATACAGATCATATTGCATTTAAAGGCTGAAGCTGTCATGAGAAACATGTGGCTTGATTTAGGTGTTTTTTTTTCTTTTTGAACAACAACTTTTTTGGATACATATCTGGTTGTTCCCTCAATATAAACCATTAAATAGGCTCAGGCACGGAGATCTTTTTATTTTATTTTTTTTGTTTGGCTATTGATAATGTACAAGATGTGATTTATCTTCAACATCACGTGATTCATTTTAAACAATATACTATATAGATGTAAATGCACAATCTTTTCTGGGGAGAATAAGGCTGCATTGACTTTAGGATGAGAGTTGAACATATGCTGCCATCATAAATCAGGGCCAGCGTCTCTGGGAGTTTACCTCTGTTTTTGCTCTCACTGTTCCGCCCCACTGTCTCTGTTCCATTTGGCAATGAATAAATAAAAGGTCTCTTTACAGGCTTTACAAAGTACTCAGTGCTGCATTAAGGATACTTTCTATGTGTTTCCAAACTGCAATTTCCCCTCATCACTCCTCCAGAATCAAGTGACATTTTTAGCAACTTCTTTTTTTTGGATTAATTTTGAATTTATTAAGCAAAGAAAAGTTGCGTGAGACTTTCCCCTGAACTAGCTGCCTTTCATTCTGTTTTTGTCCTCACATATTGGTGATAGTTAATGTTGGTGCGCTGCGATGAATCGAAAGAGCAGGCGTCACACATCCATCTTTTTTTTTTTGATTACATGAAACTGTTGCAAATGAGAATCACTCACCCTTATTTCCATGCCCTCTTTTTTCCCATCCCATGCCCAGCTGCGCTTGGTGAAGTAGTTGACTGTGGCAAACTCAATCAAGGCAGAGAAGACAAAGGCATAGCACACAGCCATGAACCAGTCCATGGCGGTGGCATAGGCCACTTTAGGAAGGGAGTTTCTAGCACTGATGCTCAAGGTAGTCATGGTTAGGACAGTGGTGACACCTGAGGAGAGAATAAAAGATCAGCAGATATTTCATTATTTCTGAAATTAAACATTTGCGGTAATTCAATTCAATTTTATTTATATAGCGCCAATCACAACAACAGTCGCCTCAAGGTGCTTTATATTAAGCGTAAGCAAGTGCCATGTAGTTCCTGTGCATTCAAGAGAAGGAAATTTTCTACCAATGTCTTCAGTCACTGGGAAATTCTCTTCAAAAATTGGATAAATAACAATGTGGCAGTGAACTGTCCCTTTAAAAGAAAGTTACTTACAACTCAGTCATGGTTTGTTTGGGTTTTGCTATCCTGGCATCTAAACTCTCACTTTATACTGACCAACATCTCTTTAGAGATTTAAGAGAAAAGAAAGCTGCACTGCAACATAACAATAGTCTGGATTATGGCTAGAAAAAGAAATGTTAATGCGTACTGTCTCTTTAAACCTAATATAGATTCACTTTCCTGGGTTTGGTATTAGGTGTAAGTTATAAACTAAAAATGATGGTGTAGTTCCCTGCATTGCAGAGCTTTACATAATCTACTGTATGAAATCAAAAAGTCTAGCCTCATACAGATGACATAACTCAGTGGTGCATAAACATTCAAAGTACACTGGGTCAGTCTTGCAAGTTCAAACAATGAGAATGTAGAATCTCTGTAATGACCCACTACGGAGGATTTTTCAGGCTATGTTCTTCTGTTCAAACCAGTCTGATGAATGTATTTTCTTACTAGACTTATCTACAGTACAACGAATGAAAATATTGAAAGTTTCCTTTAGCTTATACACAAACAAAGAGACATGCTATTGACCTGCATACATAAAGCACAACCTGTCTAAGCTGCAGGATTGCGTGCAAAGGTAAATCGCTAAATGACACCACTTTTGAAAAATGAGCAGCAGATCTACATCTGCTAAAATTAATTAAGGCGAAAACGATGTCTTAAAACTTTCTAAATTTCGCAGATCATTTCACAACCTGGCCTTTACAGTCAGGGCGAATGGAAATGAAAGGCGGCTCGGACAATGTTCGCCCATCGAAGCGCATCACTTTATCTGTTCCAACCTTTCTCATCTGATAAAAGACGGATACAAAGGAGGCTTAAAAAGGCTGCAACAAAAGAGTGATACATGGCTATTCATGGGCTGATTGATTTGCAGGTAATGCATTTCTAATCTTGACTTTGTTCCACCATTTACATAAAATTAGAATATTCATTTGTACAAAAAGCAGTCCTTATTACAACAGCAATTAACTGGTGTCAGAGACGAGGACATCCGGTGCTTGCGGTAACAGTGAGTAATGCTCTTATATAAAATGCAGGTATAAATCAAAAAGTATCGAGTTTTAACTAGAAATATAACTTGGAAGGTGACTGAGGATGCAAAAACCAAAAAGATAAATTAGATTACGCAGGTAATGACAGCCACATGCTCTCATAAACCAAGGGACTGTAAGCATGATGGCGAGAAAACTAAAACCAACACAGCTTGAAACTGTCCACTGAGAAAACGGCACTGATTAAAATTACTATCATAATGTGAAGGAAATTGTCCCCTAAAAATTCAACCTCTTATGGGGCTGAAGTGATTCTTAGACGACTGTGTAAGAAAAATCTAATAGTGGGTGTATTTGTGCAGAAGTGAAGGAGATATGGTTATTCAGACTGCACAAAGGGAGCTGGAACAGTTTTTATCTTCTCAGCAACGCTTTGCCTTGCATACATTTTTAAAATCTTTTGCGCAATATATGCTTCTGCATGTACCTGTCTAAATGCAAAAATGCTAACCGTGTTTAGAATTACATAAGACTACTCATATTGATTATGCGGCGCAATAACAACAACTGCAGGAGAAGGAAAATTACATTCCTTATTTGAGTACCTTTGAGTTGATCACATCTGACGCAATGTTCTTAGCATGAATCAAGTTCGATGGACAAATTGAATCTATTATTATTCATGGCTTAAAGGGAGAAAACACAGTCAATTGTCGCGATGGCAACTGGGAAATGTCTCTATATTAAAGAGGAATTGTTATGAAAAATAAAGGAAAAATATGACATGTAAATGCTTTAAATCTTGTTTTACGTTCTCTGTATTAACAGCAGAATAAAGTCAGAACTGATAAAATAAATTATTTTCAGTGCTCCTGTGCACCTGAATGTACTAAGCTAACTAAAGCTAAAAAAATAGAACTTTTCATGCTGAAACCGTTTCAAACCGTTTACTTGTTTGTCAAGTCCTTAGACAGTGCCTTTCTGTTACCTCATCATTTAATACCCCTCTGATTAACTAGCTTCTTCAATGAATCATTTAATGCATTTATTTGAGCTGGATTTAAAACACGAGATAGCACTCACCGAATACTGTGCGCGCCGGAACGGATTCTCTGTTTAGCCAGAAGGAGACCTGAGACAGTATGACAGTCATGATGCACGGAAGGTAGGTTTGAATCACAAAATAGCCAATTTTCCTTTTCAAATGGAAATATGTTGTCATCACTACATATTCGCCTGAGGGGAAAAGAGACAAACAGAAAAAGATGGAGAGACACAGACAGGGTCATGATTATTAATATACTTGTTCCTCGCTCAGAGCAACACAAGGAAAAATATTTGAAAATTGATGCATTAACGTTTGAACATTAACGTGCATGTGACAAGACGTGAGCAGTATTGAGACAGAAAATGCTTAGATGCTTAAAATATTCCAAAGATGTTGATGCACACTTCCAAACCTTAAGCTACAGACTGTATATAAAAGATGGACATAGCCACTGTGTCAACACCCGTTGGCTAGTTTGGCCTTAATGCCTCAAGCTGAGAATGCTAGGTCCTAATGAGCTGAAGGACTGCATTCTCAAAGGTTTCTATACAATATGATTTGATTTTGGAACAACAGGAGTCGCCACCTGCTGGCTGATAGTAAGAATGTAAGTTTAAGTAACTTGCATTGGCTCAGATGAGAAGCTATGTCCATCTTTTACTTACAGCAAGAGTTTTTAACCGTAAGAGACAAAAAAGTATAATAATAACTAAATAATAAAGACTGTAAACAAACAGACTGGCAGATGACATCACATTGATGTCATTAATAAGACATATACAAAGTGTCACATTCTTTTAAGTGCACATTTACATGTTCCTTGGGATGTTTTTTGCTGTTCATATAAATATGTCAATTATACTAGCAAATGGATAAACTCACATCTTCTCCAACTGCCAGCTCTCAGTGCCATGTTTGCAATCTGTGTTATGAAGATAGGACGAAAAACAGATTTCCATCCCTGAGGTGTTTTTTTGGTTTTGTTTTTTTCTGAGGAGAATCAAACCAGAGCTGAATGGGCTCAAATCCTCCCATCCCCCTAGATCACTATAGTCCATTAGGTTTAAAGTCTAAGGAAATGAGCTTTTCCAACCGCCATAAGCTGAAGTGGTTTATGAAAGAAATCGCACTGACTCTATCATGAATCTTTGGTACTTGTCAGACTTCTGTTGGTCTTCTTCCATCGCTGCAATTCTCCTGACTTACATTCAACCCACCAAACAGCACAAACAATAAAGATACTCTCAAGGAACGCATCCTCTGTAGAGTTAAACAGATGCAGTTATTTAAAGGAGACACACACATACACACACACACTTTTATTTCTTGGAAAACTGGAGTGCCATCTAACAAAGTGGATTCTTGGTGCTTTAGTCTCCAAAGACAACTGAAGTCTGACAGATATCAGCGACTCTGTGGCTCACCTCTTGAAAGTTTCACAAGCAAACAGCTTGAATGTAAAGGTTAAATCTCTCAAAACTGAGAGCAGCGTGGCTCGCTGGTAAGCTGTTTTACTCTTGTGATTTCCAAATGCCCCACTAAAGCAACTTTTTATTTTTAGCTTTACCATTACAAGCTCTTTGGTACTTTATCTAGTCCTATTACACCATTAACTAAAGCTGCTGATTGATGTTAGCGGTACATGATAGTGACTGATAAGTATAATAAAAATGCAGCACATTCTTGAAGGTGTTTGAACTCAAATGATCTATTACCAGTGAGATGCTGCTGCTGTAAATATTTTCAGCATATGTGAGTACCCTGCCCTCACCGTGCTATTTCATCCCTTTATATTAAATTGCTAACATAAGCTTTAAGCCCTCCAATGGGGAAATAACAAAAAAATTGATTTTTGTGTGACAGATAAAAAGGATTCTGCAACAGTTTTGAAGATAAGATTTTAAGATCAAATGAATATGCAATCAAAAGAAAGGGCTAGACGATGGTTATTATAGTTGACTCTTGGCTGAACCCCAAAGGAAAGTGAAAAAAACCCAAAAAACCTTTCACCTCTGGCAAACGTCTTCATATTATCTTGGTAAATATGCTGAATAGTTTCAGTCATCATTTTCTCGATGGAGCCAAACAATGCAAGATGAATTTAAAATGACAGAAACTGTTGAGAAACTGCAGACTGTTTATTATTTTGGAAGACAAATTACACAAGAGCCACTATATCTCAGTGGAATAGATTATATGTAGTTTATCTTTCAAAAGTGAGAATTCGATCACTTTTGAGTACTCAAAATCAACTTTTTGCCTGTTCCAGACAAACTCTGATTTACCTTACGGTGTATTGTATGCTGCTGTCTGTACCCAGAATGGCATACCTGTGCTGGAACTGATGGTTTCTTTGCCAATAACATGTCCCAGTAAGTCATATTGGTTCAGCCTGGAGCCGTCCTCTGCCACAGCGACAGACCTCTCGTCACCCTGGGTCCACAGGTAGATCACCTCATTATTTGTGTAAGCATCTGAGCAAACAGAAGACAGCCCCCAAAAAACAGACAGCATAGGTGAGAGATCAAAATATGGGTGCAATATTTTCTGTTTTTCTCCTACCTCTGCACATTGTAGGATTATCAGCATTTGCTTTGGCAAAAAGTTAACTGCTGACTTCAGGATCTAAAAGACATTTTTCCTAAATTCCAGTAAGTCATTCATGATAATACGCAGCGTCCATCCAGTATTGATCGGGCTGATAGACCTGCGGCCGATAACGATATCAGGTTTCACAAAAAAATTCCTTTTACTGTGTTCACCACCCTGAGATTTAATCCTCACGCGTCAGGGGATCACTGACTTTTCCTCCAGTGCCACTTTTTTAACTAAATGTATCCAAAATGAATGCTCTACCTATCAGCATCATTTTATGTTGAGAGATATAAGCATTGCTGCTAAAACATCAAACTATATCTAATGCTGTGTCTGAAACAGTAAATAGCCTATGCTTGTGTATGGATGGTTACATGCCCCGCACTATGAGCATACTGAAAGTAATTTAAGCACATTAACTGTCGCTGTGGCGATGCCTAAAGGGTGCAGCCCAAAGAGGGAGAAGATCTTTATTAATAAAATTTTCTCTTAACTGCTTTTGTTATATTACCAAACATCATACTGCAGTGTAGTTTTAGCCTTTGTTTTGTTTTTCTTCTTTTTTTATAGTTCAGGAAAAGGTTCCTAACACCTGCAGAGAACCATCCCCACTGTTTCAGATGTCTGATCTTATATAAAACACTTTTGTTTTGATCATCTGGACTGACTTACAACTTCCAAACTTCAGAGGACAGGCGTGTGCATCCATCGGGAAATCCTCCAGGTGCATGGGGCACTCGGCATGAATGGTCAACCTGTGGGGGCAGAGGGAAAGAAAATGCATCACTGTTCAGTCTGCAGGATGGTTGAACAGGTCATTATAAACAAATGATGATGCATAATGATGTCAAATATTTCTGCAGAAACATAATTTGGAGCATTTTCATAGAGATATGTGAGACATGTTGGGAAGGTCTTATGCAAATTGCTTTATCGTGCATCAAAATTGGCTTTCCCACAAATCCAAATGTAGACCAAATAATGCTTTAATCTCTGAGTTTATTTCAAAACCAGGGATTTGTGTACGTGTGAATAAAAACTGAAGGAGAACAGATTATATCCTCTCTCTCTCTCCTCCTTTGCATCACCACCCTGTCAGTGGTAATTAGAAGGCAGACATGGACTAAATCTCCAGAGAGCACCCAAATTTGTTTCAGTTGGTCAAATGGCCAGGCCACAAAAGGCACTCTGCAAGTAAACAGAGAAATTGTGCACGTTATCTCACTCATACATGTTTAATCAACATCGGGGCTACATTTGCCGAGTTCAAACAACACAGCAACTAATTAAATGCCATCCTTTGGTGCACTAACTCACACATAAACCCCCCAAACTGGGTTATTTAAACTCAATTATACCATATTTACCCTGTACATCCATTGAAAACTGGGTTTTTAGTGGGTAGATTCTTTTGGTCTCACTGTTTAATGTTGCAGAAAGTCCCACAAGTTTATTTGTAGCCACAGCCTTAAAATGTGTAACATCGCGGGCTGCCTCCACAGACAAACTTTCTGTTTCCAATTAGCTCATTGTGTTGTATTTACAACAATGCCAAGCCTGTTTTTGCCTCTAACTCGCTTCTGTGCTCTCTGTTGCTGCCTCATTACTGATAAGTGGCTCACTATCTACACAAGCTAATGCTTTACAACATAAATGTGAGAATCTTTTGCATCACACGGCACTTAAAACCAACATTCACGCGCTGTACTTATACTCTGACAGAAACAAAGGCTACAAGAAGACAGAATGGTTTTGATTAAAGACAAAAAGGCAAGCTGTCTTCATACAGAGCTTACAACTATATCATCAGCCTTGCAAAGAAGCGCTTGGGCATAGAGGTACCTTACACAGCATGTGTCAGCAATTTATGGTACTCACAATGACAATGCAGACATGCTGGTGTTTTTTGGGGAGGTGAAGTCTGATAAACTTTGGCAACGTTTACAGAACCATAAAACACTAATGAACACACATTGAAACCTCTAAAAAAAAGGTTCCTTTTTCTGTCAGCCACTTCTCCTTAGCCACCCTTAGTAACTTAGTAAATGGTATTTTTTATATTCTAGAGGTGTTTACATTTCAGACTCAGGATTGTAATCAGGTGAAATGGACCACATGTTCCAATATATGATAGAGAGAAAAAAATGAACGAAAATAATAAAATTGCAAAAATAAAATTTGTACTAGTAGTTTTTTGGTAGGGTTGTCTAACATTACAGTGTGATTGCGTCTAAAAATTAAGTTAAATGTATTTTGCTTAATGTTTCTTTGCTGCCTTCAAGCCGCTGAATGGAATTCTTGTCTGAACCGACATTTCTGCCTTTCTTCTCTTAACCCTTCCTCTTGCCTTACAATTTGTTCTGGCATTTTCTCTAAAATAATATATTCCACTTTAATGTATTTAAATAGACCTAGCTTATTATACTTTCAAAGCCTTATTAAACCTCTCATGCCTAATTTTAGTTTTAGCATATATATATTAAAATATATGTATATATTTAAAATCATACGATAATTAAATATATACAGAAAGAATTGGCCACACTTATATGTGCAACCGGACAAAAAAAATAAAATGTATATATATTATAAAAAAGTATTATTTCACCCATCACTTATGCTCTGTTTCATAACCCGAGATTTATCAAATCAAACAAAAACACTTAACTGATTGACAGTAACTGATTACTCAAATTTAACAGTATTACTCCTTCCAGTATTAGTTTATTAAAGTACTGCTGATGACGGGTGACAGGAATGGCAGCACTGTTCATAAACCAAAGCACTGGGCAATTTGAAATTGGATCTGATGACTGGTGCAAGTTAAGTGATCGTTATTACAAAGTAAATATTGATGTGCAAAGTGAATGACAATCGACTGAATAGCTGTTAAAACATGTTACTAAAATATTAGTATAATTTGAGTAGAAAGCTTCATTTGGAAAGCATCGTTTTGATCTGCCCCCACAGAAATTCTTAATTTCTTGAAGGGCTTGAAACATTTGCAGGCATATGCAAGAACAGCCAGACTAGAACAATAATAAAGGAAGACAAAGCAAAGAATTAATGAGGCGACTGCTACCACTGTGCTCTTTTGAACAATGTGAGACATGATGGGTACCACCCAACTATTTTCTAATCCAGGACTGTGGGGGCAGCAGTCTAAGCAGAACCCCACCACCTCCTCCACTTCTTGTGTATGTGTGCATATGTGTGTTTCGGATATCAGAAAGCTTCCAAACCACCAGGGAGTAAAAATTTCCCAAGTGTGTCCCAGAACCTCATCGGAATCTTCTCCCTCCTGAATTCCCTTCTTAGAGTAAACCCAGACATCCTTCAGGAAAAGCTCATTGTGTCGGTCCTTTTGTTTTGCTCGCTACTGACTGGTTGTGGCCATAAGGGAGGGTCTGAACAGTTGCTGCCCAGAAAATCAACAGCTATGCCTTGTGGCTGTTTTCACCACAACAGACCTCTATAGCTGCACTGATCCACTGATCAACCTGCTGCTTCAAGGTAGAGTGATCAGTCCACCCTCTTCCAGCAGAGAACCATGTCTTCAGACTTTTAATCCTCATACTGCTTAGCTGCTTTGCAGTGTATTCACTGTGTACAATAACACAACACTTGCCTTCACAGATACCAGTTTTTCTATTTGTTTGATGCCTGTCTTTATTTGTTCATGTGGATCACACCCACTGCCATCACTGAAGTCTTTCTTTAGTTAAATACAATTCTTTTGTTAAAGTAAAAATGTATTTCACTCTGGAAAAGGGGGGGAGACACATGAGTCATGCTACTAGCAAGCTATAGATCATATAAAACAATCTATTTATTTAGTTTTTTATATACTAAATATACCAAATGTTTAAAGACAAGACAAAAACTTGTGTCTTAGCAGCATTGCTTTTGTATTGTGTTGCTTTTATAGTCACATAGCAGTGTGTTAAGTGAAGCATTACTTCTCAGCTTTGGCCATGTTGAAAGGGCTTTCTGGCATTGTAAATCCCCAAGTACGGCTGTACAGTTGTATTTGTTTTTGGTGGTCTCTAAGCTGTTAAGTCCACTTAGTAAATGATACATTCGCATACAATAAATTCTTGAAACAGCTTTTAATGACAAATATAAACCTGCATAAACCTCTCTCTCTTTAAAAAGTACACCTGAGTCTTCTCACAAATTAATATTAGTGAGGGACAGAGAAATGCCGAAGAAGAAGCAAGGAGGTTGAGTTAAAATGAGGTGAACTGTAAATGAGTGACAAATGCTTTCACAAAAAAATAACCGCAGCAGCGCTGGCAGACAATACCAGCTCTCTAAATTCAGAAATAATGACGCAATCCTGCAGAGCCGAGGCCTTCATAGCATTTGTCAGTTCAGATCCTGTAGACGTGCTGATTAAATGGATTTAAGCAGTTGTTTAGTGAGGAATGTCAATCAAAGCGGGGCGCTATGGTGACGCACTGTGCACTAAACTTCCCGTGAGACAGATTTATATTCTAAAGCCTAATACCTGTGCAGTATGTGGAAATTTAAGGTATCAGTCTCTCCTTGGGAGTGTTTTCCAGTACCTCTAATAACACAGCAATATTTTCATGCAGATCCCCTTCAACTAATCACCCAAAGCTTAAGATAGATGAAAGGTAGCCCTAAAATTGAGAAAGTTCTTTGCCAGTGCTTTCAAAAATACATTCCATATTAAGTTTATGATATGAGTTTTATGATAGAGTCAGTAAAAGTAGGGATGGTCTAAAGAATACTTTGCAGTTTTTCATTAGGGCTTGGCAAGATATCAATATATTTGACAGAATTTTATATAAGACATGACATTATTGATGCTGTACATTGAGCGTGCAGATTTTCACCTACATGCATTTTAGCGGTGCAAAACAGTTAATCTCTCTCGCCGACTGCTCACACATTAGAATTCCAGATCTTAGTGTTTTTACTTTTTTGGCTCAACTCTGCAATGATAGAGGGGGATGCAGTTGTAAATTTGTGTTTATTTTCTTTATTCAGGCAGTAAAGATGGTTCACAACATTTGGATTTATGTAATAACACTATTTTTACTTGAACTATTCAGTTCATTTCCATTTTATTTATATAGCACCAAATCACAACAGCAGTCGCCTCAGGGTGCTTTACATTCTTAAGTTAAGACCCTTTAATAATATAGAGAAAACCCCAACAATCAAATAACCACATTTGAACATGCCCTTGGCGACAGTGGGAAGGAAAAACTCCCTTTTAACAGGAAGGAGGGGTAGCCATGTGCTGCAACCATTTGGGGATGATGGGAGAACAAAAAGCACACTGCGGAACTATGGTTTTAATGCTAATATTATATAACGTAATAATATTAAGGTCTCTAATGTATAATAGCAATAGTATTTCCCATTGCAAAAGCATTGCAATGGGAAATACAGAATTCCTATAAATGAGTTTTATTTGCTGGTGTTTATTTTAGCTCCATAATACAACTAAGCTGGTTCCAAAAATGCTTTTGGGCCTCTAAGGATTATCAAGGATGCCAAGGATTATCATACTTAATCATGCAACTTTTTCATCATCTCACAATACATTTCCCTGCTTATTTAAACATGTTAGTCCTTGTAATACTACATCAGAGCTCAGGGATCTTTGTTGGCCTTGGCAGAACTGCCACAGCATCAGATCTACTCATGTGGGAGCACAAAATGATTTTTTCACCATTTCATTTTCACCCCTAAAAATCTATACTGACCTTGTGCACGAGCATCATAAAAACATTTCTGCAGCCTTTTCACGGCCTAGTGCAAAGCTGGTGAATGCTGATCGACAGGTTCAGTGTTTCCAGCCAAAGCAATCACAGAATTATTTTTGCTGTTATTCAGTACATAATGGTATTCAGTGACTATGACTGTCTTGCTGATGCTATTTACAGTGTACTTTACGCATGACATACACACAATGACACTCCTTTGATCAAGTGAGTATTATTCACTCGGCTGTCTGCGTGTGATACATATATGGGCCAGACTGGCTGCAAGTCAGCTATCTGACTCACAGACAGGTAAAAAGCACAATTTTATTCCTAAGATGTTAATTTTCACCCTAGTGCCACCACGGTGTTTGCATTCATGCTTTTAAATAAAATGTCTCTAGCTATTGAATTTGCTGATATACACACATCATCTTCTAAAAGCTAAACTAGGTTCTCTCATAATCTTCTAACTTTTCTTTGGAATCCGGGACTATAGTTTCCAATTTTCTTTCTATCAAATGTTCATGTTCTAACTGAAAAAAATATGACAAACATTCCGATTTCATTTGATGAAGGATGAGAATTTTGTAAATTCTCAGCTTGAAAAATGTTTTCAATGATTCAATATTGACTATTATTGCTGCTGTTCCTCTAATAGCCAGTTGAGGCAAGCTGGGAAAGTGAGTCAATAGACTGCCATGTTCAAATATCTGTATATAATGATGTTACGTCCCTCTGCAGCTTCTAATCGTCTCAGTGTTTTCAGCTGGTGCTAATTGGCCACACCTAGTCAGGTGTGGATAAAAGCATACCTGAGGCAAGCTTTCGGGCAGTGCACTAGTCTTTGCCTTGGTGGTACCAGCCATTTTAGCCAACCTGGTTTTCCCATTTTCGGATGAAACCTCTCCTCACCCACACTCTGTTGTTCGTCTCCTTTTTTTTATGTTGCGGCTTTTGAGCCGGGTCGTAACAAATGATTAGAGCATATGTATGTAAATATGCCTCTATGTACCCTTAACATTGGGCCAATCTGAATGAAACTTTGCATGGACATGGTGACGCATACAGTAACTTCCAGTAACTTCTATATGATCTTTAAAAACCCCATTTATTATAAATCAAAACTAAGTTTTTAAAAATGTTTTAATATTGGCGACAGAATTTTGCTTGACTTGACTAAATACAGGATGATGAATTTGAAAAACCATTACAGGCCTGGCAAAAACTGCCCACAGGCTAGAGTTTTGTTAGTCCAACAAAACAACATTAAGAAGCATTTTTACACACTGATACAGAAAATGGCTTTGATCTTTATGGATAGTTTTCCTTTTCATATGGTGGGTCAATTTTGTTTGAACTAACCCATCTACATAAACTACTGGTCAAAAGTTTTAGAACACCCCATTTTTTTCAGTTATTTATTGTGATTCAAGTTGTTTAAGTCCAATGCATAGCTTGAAATGTTACAAAAGTAAGTGCTCAGATTTAAAAAATAAGGTTCAACAGGTTCAAGCACAGCTTAATTGTGGTAACAACTCTCGGTTTTAACTGTGAAGAGAAGACTTCAAGCTGCAGGTTTGACAGGACGAGTTGCAGAAAGAAAGCCGTTGCTAAGACATCAGAATAAGACAAAGAGGCTTGCCTGGGGCATGAAACACTACCACTGGACTACTGAAGACTAGAAGAAGGTACTATGGACTGATGACACAAAATTTGAAATTTTCACTTCATCACGCAGTATCTCAGTATGCCATCAAGCAGACGAAAGGATGGTTCCACAGTGTGTGGCATCAACTGTCAGACATGGAGGAGGTGTGATGGTCTGGGGCTGTTTTCCTGGATCCAGGGTCGGTGACTTGTACAGAGTGAGAGGCACCCTAAACTAAAACAGCTACCACAGAATTCTGCAGTACCCACTGGTTGCACCTAGTTGGTCAGGGGTTCATCCTACAGCCAGATAGTGATCCAAAACTTAACTCCAAGACATGCCAGAACTACCTCAGGAAAAAAGAACAAGATGGTAAGCTTGAAAACATGGAGTGGCCAGCACAGTCTCCAGACTTAAACCTCAGTGAGATCGTTTGGGATGAACTGGACAGAAGAGTGAAAGCAGAGCAACCTTTAAGTGCCACACATTTATGAGAACTTCTGCAACAGATATATGAAAAACTTTCTGAAAAACATTTGATGTCTATTGTAGAAAGAATGCCAAGGGTGTGTTCATTATATCTGTCAAAGGTGGCTACTTTGATGAGTCAAAAATTAGAAAAATTGGGGTGTTCTAAAAGTTTTTACTGGTAGTGTATAATACTACTACTACTAATAATAAAAATTATCCAGTCGTTAAGTCTGACGTCACTAGCCGTGTCTGGGCCTAAACTCCGCTGCAGGTCCATATATCAAACGATCACTATGGCATTACTGAGAGTTGAAAAACTGTCTAAAGTCTTTCATCTTTAATAAAATGATCAACGTTCTGCTCTATCAGGTGTAACAATTGAGTTTAACATCCAGGCATCCATGAAAACGGAATTTATGACATTTAACGGAGTTAGAAGTTAGCAGGAAGTTAGCTTGCTAGCTTCCATCGAAATACAATATAGCATGTCCTGACTGCGGGGTTTTGGAAACAAGTTAAAACGTACAGCTCTGTTATCACTTCAAACATAAATGAAGAAAGAAAACTAAACAGCAGTGACGTTTGTACGGTTACTGAAGTTTGGCTAGCTGTAGCTAATGATGTGCTACATGACCGCTAGCGACACAGTTATGTTAGTATAATTTAAATAAGCTAACTTTTTTTCCACTCGATAAAAGTTAACGTGAGTGCTGAGCTGTAGTTACATCCTAAGGTTTTAAAAACTGAGCTTAAATAAATGATTAGCGGTAATAAAAGCCGAGGGAGGTCAACAGTGATTACTGACTGTTTTAGGAGCTTTTTGAGATTAAATAGAAGAAAATACAAAACATTAAACATGTTAACAACACAAAAGCCATATTAAACGCAGACTACTTTAGGCCCGGAAGTAGGATTCGTCATGTCATCACTTAACGACCGGATAGTGTATTTGAGGCTGAATGATAGGAGAGGAATGCTGTCACAGTCAACTGTATCCCAAGCTTCCTAGCATAAGCTTATAAGGAAGCGAGTCACCCTTTCATACATATGGAGAACTTCTGGCTGTAAAAAGTGCTGAGTGCCAGTGGGTGAAATCTTTTATTATGCTTTCTTTTTTCTTTTAGGAATGTCAAAATAAGGATGCTCTCATGCCAAATTATCTACTAAACAGCACCTGCAGATTTTTTTTTTTTTTCAAGTGATGGTGTTGACCTCCGAATCACCACAAAAAATGCTCACCTCATTGTGTATAGAAGCGTGCCGTTGTCGACTAGTCGTAGCAGTTTGTTAGGAGTTGTCATGTTGTGGGCTACAGATTTCTTTCCGTTGTGGAAAAAAGTATCAGGAGTCCAGATCTTACTGGCCAGGAGGTTGTTGAGGGGTAAAACCTGCATGGGCCCATCGAACTTCAGCCGCTCATCCCTCCAACTCTGGCGAAAGAAGACATCGATGGTGTACTCCTGATGGGAAGAGAGTTTGAAGAAATAGTTAGCAAGGCAACAATTCACAAAACTGGGAACATGGCTCTCATTCAAGCCTTACGATGCTCTTATTTGGGAAAGCATACAAAAAAAAAGGCTACATGATGTTAAGTTGAGCCACCTTTTTTGTTCCTTTATTTCCACTTTTGCTTTTCCTGCTTTAATGAGTTAAAGTGCATTTCCTTTTTTGTGTGACACGATTACTGCTCCGTTAACAATGTTGTGTTTCTCTCACACTTAAGGTGTTGGAGCCTCAGCGAGAAAGCTTGTAGAACATCTGTTTCATGTTTTATTAATGTGCGACACAGTATTTCTGCATCGTCACCAACACACGAAAGACCAAACAAACTAAAACAAATGCGGGAAGTAGCTGTTCAAAATGAATTTATTTCACATTATTCATTCAATGGGTCTTGGTGTCCTAGCAACTGCTTTTCCTCGCCAGCTGTGTACAGCGGCTTTGCAGACAGAGAGCTGAAGCTTCAACAGAGTGAGATGTGGGGAAGCTATGCCACAACAGTGCGCAACAAAGGCACGGTCCACGTGTTGCTAGCCATTTTGGAGCTTTTTGCTTGTTCGCTGAAACAGCTCAGGTACTGTGAACTGTAACTGGCTGCCCCCCTGAGTGACACCTTGATTAAGTCATTTCCCATTGGTTTTAACAACAGGATCCCGTCATGCTCAGTGGGAGAGGGTGTGCAGCTTTCATTCAACACAGCAACAGGTCTCCTCTAAACAGCACAGGATGGACGTCTGTTAATTGATGCGATTGACCTCCTAAAGGCCTGCAAACTTGCAATGCTATACAATAATTACATCGCATCTGTCCTCACAGCAGTGCTCTAAATAAAGCCCACAGAGAGCTTCAGAGACTGATAAAAGCCAGAATGTGACTAACGTGCACAACCCTCAATCACTTTATTTCATCTTTGCCCCATTTATTAATTAACTGCAGTCTCTGGTTCTTTTTTTTTTTAAATGTTAAATGGTCTGTATTTGTATAGCGCTTTACTTGGTCCTAAGGACCCCAAAGCACTTTACACTATACACAATCATCCACCCATTCACACACTGGTGATAGCAAGCTTCAGTGTAGCCACAGCCACCCTGGGGCGCACTGACAGAGGCGAGGCTGCCAGACACTGGCGCCACCGGGCCCTCTGACCACCACCAGTAGGTAACGGGTGAAGTGTCTTGCACAAGGACACAACGAGAGACTGTCGGAGCCGGGGCTCGAACCGGCAACCTTCCGATTACAAGACGAACGCCCAACTCTTGAGCCACAATCACCTACTAAAGAGTTCACAAAGTAAATCGTTAACTGTTTTTCCCATTAATTATGTCAGACTGATTCCTTCATGCATTAAGTTCTCAGTGCTGTCATCAAAGGACTCTCCAGGTCACAAAAAAGACTAATGACCAAACACATGTGGACAGTAGGGCAACCATGACACTGATTTATTGTTCTGTCCTGTGCATCTTTAACAAAAACTTTCCTGCACAGTCTAAGAAAGTTTGCTCTATCTTGGCATACAAAAAAGGAACCCTAGTAAAACATTTAAATCCCCATCGCCAAGGTTATCCTTTTGTTATGCATGTTAATCACGTCTTTATGAGATGCCAAATCAGGCCTCAATTAGTGTAAAACATGCAGTGATGTAAACTGACAATAGTGAGCTTGGCCCAGCTGGGGTGAAGCCATCATTTGTTTGTTTCTTTTGGACAGAACCTTCTGTAAACATGGGGAATTAATTTGAAGACTGAAAGACAGAAGTGAGGAAAAGTATAGTCAATCTCCACAAGGCCAAATGGCACAAACCATTCAGATGCCAGCTGGTGTTCCTCCAGGGACTGAGTGATTGATTTCTCCTTGACAGAGGAGACAGAGCGGAGCGTCTACCCAACAGTGGCTGTCAAATATCTTTTTTTTACAGCAGTCAGAATCATGAATAGATTAACTATGGCAAACAACTCTAATTTAAAGAACCCCTTTAAACACATGACACAAGTATTGCAACTGCATTCATTATTTGTCTTCACATAATACACAGACCATTTTTACAAGATTGCTGGCATCTTGCCTTTATTAGAAAGATGGATATTTGCGGTGATTGATGTGCCCTGGATGGATTCAAAGTGAAAGGTGCAGATGCTCTGCCTTTTTTTACCCAGACAGCCCACAAATAAGTACAAATTCCATAACTGTAAAAACATATTTGCTAAGGATGTATGTTTATTGCTGCAGTTAAAAAACCAATAACATCATAAAAGTGGCAACTGGATCTCGACTACAAGAAAATTTGTGGAGCATGCTGAGCTGTAAATTAAATCATTTGATTGGGCTCTGATAAAAAAAATGTAAAGATTTGCATTTTATGGGTTGAAAATTCCTCAACAGGATGTATAAGCTCACCTTAAAACAAAAAGGTGCCTTTAAATGTTATGTATTGTGGACATGTATATATAACCTGTGAAGGATTGCTGACCTGTACAGGATGTACTCTAATCTGTTCACTATCAGCTGAGACTGAATCTATTTCCCTGGAATCCTAGTTGGATATTCAGTTTTGAAAATGAGCAGATGAAGGGTCACCTCGTAAAGCTAGTGCTGACATAAAGTCAACAGCTTAGGACAAATCAGAGGTGGGCGGTCCACTTCCTTCAGCTGCCCACCCTTCAGTGGCAGGTCTGTGAAACGGTGCTCATTTTCAATTAATCCTCAAGGCTCCCGATTCACAGGAGTGATGTTTGGAGCTATAGTTTAAACTTGGACTTCTGATGTCTGTAGAAGCATCACTGTACATTAACCCTAGACATTAACCCTAACCTAGACTTTTAGATGACTTGGCAAAGGTAGCAGCTGGCAGGATGGGCTCCTTGACTCATTTTACTCCTCTCTTGGTCTCGCATTGACTAAACAATAAAAAATGTCCCTTCTTTTGACATTATTGGGGATATAGCAACAACTCTAATTGATAGAGATGTAGTTTTCCGCAACAACCAATTTTTAGCCCACTGTTTGCGAGCAGATCTATTAAAAAATTCTAAAACAATCTGCATGAAACTGTTACTTTTGGAGTTGACTGAAATTTGGGTTCATGAATTTTCATTAGGATTAATTACCGCAGCAACAGAGGAAAAAATGGGAGACATTCTCTTGATGACATACTTCTGGAAGCAGGAACTCAGTTCAGGTATGATGTGGAGGGAATAGTCAGCCTTTGTGTGGGTGTGCAGTCTTGGACTGTTGTTCTTTTGTAATTTAGCAGTGGGGTGAAGTTACAGTTTAATTACTATAGAAAGTAATTATCTAAGGCTACCCTTATTATAGTCATTACTTAATGTGAAAAAGAACTAAAGAAAGGTACTTCACAACAAAATACCGTAAATGACTGCTATAATCAATATTAGAATAACAATTAAACCAAGACTAAAGTAAACTAAGATGAGCTCACTGGCCACTTCACTGAATGCCCCTTTTCTTTCAGAATTGCCTTATTTCTTCATGCCATAAATCCACAAGGTGATAGAAACATTCCTCAGAGATTTTAGCTGCAGATGTGCCAGCTGCATGTTTGCAACCCATGCTATGAATCTCTTGTTCCACTAAATCCCACAGGTACTACTGGATATAAATCTGATGGTCATTTAAGTAAAATAAACTTAATATCGCGTTGAAGAAACCAATCTAAGATGATCTGAGCTTTGTCATATGGTGGGTTATCCTGCTGGGATAATGCGCCTTTGTCAATGTGGTTATAAAGGAACGGACAACACCAATACTCAAATGATGCTGATTTGGTACTAAACACCCAAAAGGTGGCAGGAAAATGTTCCACACAACATTACATCACCGACAGCCTGAATCATTGATACAAGGCAAGATGGATCCATGCTTTCTTGCTGTTTATACCAAATTCTAACTGAATGTCACAAGACTCAGACTCATCAGAAAAAATCAGGACTCGTCATGCTTTTCAAATCTTCTATTGCCCAATTTTGGTGAGACTCGCAAATATAGTTTCCTGTTCTTAGTATACACAAGTGGCAACTGGTGTGGTCTTCTGTTGCTGTAACATATTAGCTTCTGCATACCTTGGTTGTAAAGACTAGTTATTTGAGTTAATTTTGCCTCCATATCAGCTAAAACAACCATTTTCCTCTGACCTCTCGAATTAGCAAGGTGTTTTTGCACAGAGAACTGACACTTAATGGATATTTTCTCTTTTTCAGACCATTTTCTGTAAACCCTATAGACAGTATATGTGGGAAAATTGTAGCACATCATCAGTTTCTGAAATTTTTAGTTTAGCCCATATGGCACCAATGACCATGTCACATTCAAAGTCACTTAAATACTGTTTCCTCCCCATTCAGATGCTTGGTTTGAACTTCCAAAAGTCATCTTGACCATGTTTACATGCCTAAATGCACTCTTACTGCCATGTGAATGGCTAATTATATTTGCATTAAAGAGAAGTTGGACAGGTGGACCTAAAAAAAGTGGCCAGTGAGTGTATTTTATGAAAGGATTCAGTCACAGTTACAAAGTCACAAATTATCTTTCAAGCCCTTAGTTGTTTCGAGAAGCAGCAATTTTCAGCTACGGAGCTTTGATGAAGCCTCTGTACCCTCGCTGCTCACCAAAGATAGCAACGAGCTGGGATGGACAGATAGATTAGACTGACATTTTTCTCACATGTTGTGAAAGGACCACAATGTGGTTAAACGACGAGAAAATCTGGACTTTGATCTGATAAACACAGCGATGACTCAAAATAAATGCTAATAATGACTTTTGAGTTAGATGTGTAAGTACAAACAGTTTCCATTTGATTTTTTTCTCACTATATCATCAACAGATTTATCACCAGCTGCAGATGTTTGATAATAAATGTCCTCTTTTAATGGGCTTAGATGTAAATTAAATTCCTCCTAAACTGCCTGACTGCACCCCTCTAAGACCGAAAAAAAAATGA